ACACACGACTGAATTCAAATAACAATACAACCAAAAAACACCCAAAATCTGGTGTCACCGAGTGCATGAGCTCTATATAGTGCTAAACACAAAACCTGAACAAAATACAATACTGTCTGGAAGACTGAACAATAAGAACATAAGATAAAGGAGGGGACGCCAAGGCCTGCGAACGGAAAAAAATACTACCTCAAAACAAATCTAGATACAACTCACTAGTAACCACTGGTATTAGAAATACCTGATCTGCACACGAACTGTAGCGTGTAGAATGAGTACAACCGACCCCATGTACTTAATAAGTAGCAAGTCTAATCTCGGGCTGAAAGCAGTGACGAGTTTGAAAAAGTCCGATGTTCTTTTACAACAGCCAACAACAACAATAAAAGCAGAATAATGGCATATAAATAAAAGTAGCTCATATAATCACATGCTCAACTTTAACACAACAAAAGGAGATATAGGCATGCTTTCAGCAATATCAGTCAAGGTATCAACTTTTTCACAGAAATCTAGGTAAACTATGGTTTCAAAACATCAAATATCAATTAACATGAGGAAAATACATCTTTATGCTTGCACGTCATATATACATGCGAAAAACAAAAGACATCACAGTTAAATCATCAAGGAAACACAATCTCAGCACATACATAGTGCCTATCACAAATACCCCTCAATCATAATCTCAACACGCTCGCAGTGTCTGGCTCAAAGCCCCTGAATAATCACATGCACATATACACTCTTCACCATATGGGTGTTTGGCATAAAGCCTCTCACTAAGCACATATGAAGTGCATGCACTCATGGGCCTAAAGTAACATGGATTATCACCCGACTCCAGAGAGGCGAATCCTAAGCCCAAGCACTGGTCGAATCAAAGTCAAATCAAAATCACTCAGCCCAATATGGGGCCTAACGCAAATGTCACCTCACAATCAATACTAACACTCAACTAACAATGTCACTCAGCCCAATATGGGGCGTTGATGTAAGCACCACTTCACAATCAATATCAACATGGTTCTATGCACAAGATTAGTCATCAATCAGCTCAATATGGCTCCATGGCCTAAAATCAGTCATAAATCACCTCAAGTCTCAATATGCCAACATCTCATAGTATCACAATTAATATATCGCACGGACTATACCAACGTGCCACAATTCAGCTCAAACCGGTGTCACACAAACAAGCACACAACAACATATGAGATAACATATAAATAGTACATAGAGGCATAGATATAACACACGTGATAGAATATCATGACTGAAAAATATGACTACGGATAATGAAAATAGCTCAATATAGCAAAAATAATCCTATCATTTCTCAAACAGATAAGTAGATAACGTAGACATAATTTCTAGCATGTATAAGTGGAGGAAACACAATATCAAAGATGCATGATAACAATACAAGCATATAATAATCTAAGGTCTACCCTGATCATGAATTACCACGGTGCACATATGTACGATCGTCACCTCGCATATACGACACCCCCAACTTATGACAAATATCATAGCCAATAGAAAAATACCCTCAATCCAAACCCAGGCAAGATAGTTACCTAATTTGTACTAGTCTTCAATCTCGAATCGCGTCAAAACCTTGCTCTAGCCCTCCAATCATGCAAATCCAAGCCGAACATCATCCAAGTAAGTCAATAATGTCGAAGGAAGCGATTCCAATCCACAAAACCTCGATCTTTGAAGAAATTCCCAAAAATCAACAAAAGTCCATCCTGGCCCGCGTGCTCAAAACCCAAAACTAATACCAAAATCTGATGACCCATAACCTATCAAGTATAAATGTATAATTAGTTTCCAAAACTGAGTCTAAATAGGTACTCAAAGCTCCAAAATACACTATCTTAAAGTGCAGGCAAAACCCCCAAATTTCTTCCTTAGATTTATCAATCAAAAGCAAAAAATCGAAGATAGAATCATGAACAATAATCAAATCCGAGTTAGGAATACTTACCCAATTCGCGTGGGTAAAAATCGCCTCAAGAATCGCTCCAACCAGAGCTCTCAATCTCAAAATATGATAAAATAAACTAACCCTTTGTAAATATAGTATTTGCTAGTGAATCCACATTTGCAAACAAAATAGTCGCATCTGCGACACCCCTTCTACGGTCAAAGCCCCGTATCTGCGAGCATCTTCCAACTGGCCACACATTGTATCTATGACAAAATAGTCGCATCTGCGGTTCTGCAGGTGCACCTACTCCTTGCGAGTGAGCTCTCACATCTGCGTAACAAGCTCTGCACATGCGAACTTCCAACTCCATACGGATCCTCGCATATGCGACCATAAACTCTGCAGGTGAAAAATCGCATCTACGCTCCCTCTTACGTAGAGGCGACAATCCCTAGAACACATAATCATCGCAAAAGCGACACTAATCTCGCATAAGCGGATGCATGCCTGCGATCAAACATTGCGTAGGTGCGTGACACCAGAACCATAACTGCACCAAGACATCAAAATTCTCTGGAATCCTTTCAAAACACACCCGAGCCTCTAGGGACCTCATTCAATCATAACAATAAGTTCGAATACATTGTTCAAACTTATTCAAAGTCTTAAAAACTACAAATAGCATCAAAACTAAGAATCGAATATCAAAATCATTTTCTTAACTTTCAAACCTTCAATCTTTGTTGAACACATACAAATCATACTTAAACATTCCGTATCACAACCAAACTTTACATACAAGTTCCAATCAATTAAATGAACCCAACCAAGGTCTCTAAACTATAATAGGAGTCCAACAACATTAAATTAAACTTTCGATCAAACCTATGAATTCTCAAATTCTTCAAATTGTCAACTTTAGATAAATAGGGCCAAAACCTCCTAAGAACATCCAAATTCAAATCTGACCATACACCCAAGTCCAAAAATATTACCATATGAACCTATTGAAACTATCAAATCCTGATTCTAAGGTCGTTTGGACCTATTGAAACTATCAAAGGATAGAATTAGCAACCCTTGTAGCTATATCAATGTTGACGGTAGAGCAACACTCATATAACCATATTTGCATAGCTAGTGCAAAGCCTCGAATGACATAAAAATAATAAGATTCATTACCCCATGCGTAGTTCGCATACTGTCCTGAGTCCACCAAATAGAACCTAAAATGGTCTATCAACCCTGCATTGTCTTTGTCTGAAGGACAAAGGAAGAATTCTATGAGATATAGAATACACAACTTGACTGCATCCTCGTCGTTCACCCAATTACGACTGGTTACAATTTGTTTTAAGTATGACTTCTGAACTTTTTCCTTGTTTGGAAAATAACTTCTCATTATTTTACTGTCATACGTAGGTGTGTAACCAAAGTATGTCACTTCCGTAAAACATCTCAGACCACTAATCAGGGCAAACTCTCTCAAACCAAAATTCAGCCTCTGGCCCTTTATCTCTGCTGAAAAAAAGTCGAAACCAGATGCATTTAATTCATACTTCATGAGAAGATGAATTGCTTGATTTTGCATACATTTCTGGGCAAGGAAAGAAAATAACCAAAACATATCTTCTTAAAAAGCTTTAAACCATTTTCAGACAGTAAATCCTTAATTTTTCCAGGAATAGTGGGGTCGGATAATGTCTGAAATCTAATGATCCCATAATCAATATTAGGAGGTGCAAAAAATAGTCCATTCTGCAGCAAAAAGAAAAGAAAGTTATTAAAACAAGGCTCAAAACTAGAAAACAAAATAACTACATTTATAATACAATTTATCTACAATCAGCTAAACAGAGTCAAAAATAGAAAATAAAATAATTACAATTATATTACAATTTATCTACAATCTTTAAAACAGAGTTAAAACTAGGCAAAACGTTTATATAACAATGTATCTACAATTAGAAACAATAAATCTACACAATGTAGACAAATTTTCTACAACTACAAAAACAAAAATTATGTTGATTCATAAGAATGAGAACAAAGTTTTTTAGCTTTAAAAAAAATATATTATTGAAACTACTAAATTTTTACCTTCACCAAAGACTGTTGGGGAACATTTTTAGAAGATTTTTGAACTTTTTTCTTTTTTGAAGGCTTTACATTAGGAGACACTCTAACTTTTTTTGCAACTTTAATGACAACTTCTTCTTCGACGAAATCATCATCGAAATCAATCTCTTTGCCTTTCCTTTTTGCAGATTTGACAGGTATCGACGATTCACCAGCATCAATATCGTGCTTTTGCTTTGTACGAGCTTCTGCCCTAGCTTCACGAGGGGAAAGCTTAGGCTTGTTCTCTTCTTTTGCATGAACTGATTTTGAAACCTTTTTGGGTGAATTTTTTGAGAAAAAATCCAAATCAAATGTAGGAATATCGGCTCCTTTATCTTTTTTAGGGCTGATCTTGAAGCTATTTTCTTCTTCATTGAAAATCAAGCAAAGCACAGACGTTAATGGAGGTGATTTTTTGAAGAAGAAAGTAAAAATTTAGAATGCTTTTTGAAGAAGAGAGGAAATAGGCGTTAATGGAGGGATTCTGAAGTTTGTGGAGAGAGAATCGTGTTTGAGTGCAAG